AATATGGATTATATGTTTCAGCAATTGCGGCACTCTTCTAGAATCGGGTATCTCTGTGCATATTCTGAAATTGGCTATTGAGCGCTGCCACTCGTTGAGCTAACTGACCTAAATTGTCAAACTCTTGCCCGAGCAGTTTCTCTTTCCATATTGGCAACATTCCTTAAACGGCTAAAGCAGCTAGTTGATCATCGGTCAAGTTCAATGAGAAGCACAAATTCCTGATCTCTCGGAATCTCTGAAGAAACTCGGTGCCCGATTCATTAGTTCTCTGCCTTATAGTCATCAAATCGGTAATTTTCTTTTCTCCTGTCCTAGTGTAAAAATATGTATGAAACTTCTTTCTAGGTCGGCCCAATTGGCAATGGAATTAACTGGCAATGATGAAAACTAAATGAAGGTTGGTCCTGATAGGGACAAGGAGAAGAAACGAACTCGATGGGCCTCTTCAATAGATGCTTCGCCCAACTATGTAAGATACCGACTAATATATTCTATTGTGCTTGTGCTATCTTGACTAGTGAACTTAATAAACTCCGGGAGCCTGTAATTTTAGAAAGAGCGACCAAATCATACCACTCTGGATATGGGTGTTTGTACGAGAAGGTCTGCCCTTTTGGCTTCAAACCAAACTGATTTTTCATCATCTCGGTTAATCTAAGCAATAACTCATCAGCATTTGAATTTTGATTTCTCTGCAATTGCTGACCCATCCGTGGATTAAAATTTTGGATACCTTGATACCCCAGATTTGGAATCATGTGAAGGGTATTGTAATCTATGCCATAATGATATCCTTGTGAAATCTCTATCTGCTGGGTCCTTTGCTGGTTTACTACTTGAAGTCTCTGGTTGTAAATGCTGGGATCTGTATCTCTACGAATTCTTTGGACTGATGGTGCTATTTTTTGAGCCGATAACGGTATTTGGCTTGACGTGCCAAAATTGACCATTTGATTCTGAATTTGCCCCGTTGGCTGATTGCAAATGTTGCACTGACAATTCAGGATTATGTTGTATCTGATTAGTAGTAGCACCCTGAATTTGCTCAGATAAGCTCTGAACTGTCTGGACATCATCATTACCAGCTGGTGCTGCTTTTTGATGGCTAGTATCGGCTTGATTAGTCCCCTGAGTCAACGGATGTGGAATATTATAGTAAACCAGTCCAACTTGATCAATTGGATATCAATGAAACACCTCTTTTATGGTGTTGTGGAATGTGTTCAAGAAAACTGCATTATGGTTCAATATGGCATCAAGGATAGATTTGTTTACAGCCTCTACGAAGAAACGCCTATCCTTAGCTTTGTCTGTATCTGACTGCCCATGCAACAAAACTCTTGGTAGTGGATATTTCTAAACAACTTTATTGTCATGTGTCTTGGTGTAGGATAACAAACACTTGTTCTGAAATTCTTCTATAGCTTTGTTGATGACATCTTTATCCTTATCAGGTAGGTCTTCATAAGGCACCATAAGAATATCACTGTTGTTGTAAGTCGCCATGACGATTATGGGGTCCCATCGGACGTGCCAGAACGTGTGCCGGCGTAAAAACGTGTCGATGCGCCTGGCACACAGCAAGCCGGAAGGATATGTTTGATGGAGCAAGGCTGGAGATTCGCTTGGCTTCAACGCAGGGTTAGCCGATCCTACAAATTCCTCCCGAGGCGTGCCAGTCAATTTGACCTGCAATTGACAAGGAGAGAAAATTTATCAGTAATTTAAGGTGCAATATGCCGGTTTAGCCCAGACAGTTCCAAGTGTGCCGCTTCAGAAGCAGCCAGACGGGAAAAATCGACTAAACGGCCGATACGCGAAGAAATCGGCTGTTACATATTGCAAAGCTCATGGTTGTGATTGATTTTATGTTGACAAGCATAATGCACGTAGATATAAGTAAAATCATCAGATAGGTGGGTATTACCAGTGTAAAGCATTGAACCGATGAATCTAACGAGAAAGGACATAACATGCGAATAAATCGACTGTCTCGTTCAAATGGATCTACAAACGTTCTGAATCGAATCTGTTATCATCAACAGTGAGGTTCACCCGGATCGATGGCAGCTATGATGATGATAGCAAACTAAAACCGAAGAATTCGTAAAACCATCTATACATTGACAGGCTTTCCGAAAGACATGTTATATGTGTGAAAGCTCAAGCGAATCGGCTAAAGTAGCCGATTCAGGTGAAAAAAGGACTACATCATGTGAACAATCGACTATTTAACATGGATAAATCTATGAACTCATCAGACTTAACCTGTTATCTCTAACAGTGGGGTTCGACCGGATCGATGACAGTCGTGATAAAGACAACAAATCAAATCTTTAAAGTAAACAGGTCTATTCATATTTAACAGAATCATAGAGACACACTATAGGCGTTACAACATAGGCGATCGGCTATTTAGCTGATGCGGGCATAACAAACAGTCAAGGTCACGCCTGATCAAAAACAAATCTACCAACTAGCATCATTCGATCTAAAATGCCATCAGTGGGGATCGACTGGATCGTTACAGCCATAATAGCGAACTATAGACCAGATTTAACTAGCCAACAAACCTCCTCAAGATCGTACATGCCTTAACCGCGTACTATGCACGATCAAGATCGAAGTAGAACAGCCGATGAAACATAACCTGTCGCTCAAAGTAAGAAACATCGTATTGTAACAAAGCAAACGACAGACTAAAGGGATATGAAGCCGATCTAGATCGATCTCGACCGGGCAGGTTGATGTTGCTGAAACTAATGGCAATAAGAACGTCAGCAAGATCGGTAACTTAATGAATCTACCCGAAGGTTGCCACTCTTAGGTAGAGCCGATAACTTGACATTAACCTAATTCGAGTAGTGGAGGTCGAACTTAACCGATGCAGCCATACTTGAACTAGATAAAGATCGATAACTAACTTATGCTAGAGCTCGCAGTGGAGGTCGAACTTAACCGATACAGCCTTACAAACCAAAGCATAAGCCATGACGGTACTTACAGACAAGTCAGAGGTCGGCCGGACCGATGCAGCTTGCTTGTTAAAGAACTTGTTGAGATCTACACTACTCCTACTCCTAAGGGTTGGCGTAAAGCCAAAAAAGTAATTTGTATTGATTGATTGGATGTTTTTTTTACAATAGTCGGGGTCCAATATTTATACCCGGAGCCTAAGAATGAATCCTACTCAAGTATGGCTCATTACAATATTTGGTATAAAAGAAAACATTCCTAACTTAAGATAACTTGGACCTTAATCTTTTCCTTTCTGTAGAGTTCGACATGTATTTCTCGATGTCAACCGTAGCTCATTGTCATTATCTGCTGACGTCATTCGAAAAGAGTCGATTCCAGTGCCGTATCTGAATCAGCTAATATTGATTCTTATGCAGTCAATTCCTTGATTAACACGTTCTTCCTCCCAAATTTTGGTGTAAACAGCTTGAAATATGCTAGGGTATACGTCTAGAGAGACATTGGGCCCAACAGTAGACATACACGACGTAATCGTATTTTTATATGGACAAAACTACCTCTTCCACCTTACTCTCTCTATGTTACTGACCTGTGGACCCCACTAGTCATCTTCTTCCTCCTTGCTTCCCTGTCTTCTCCATGAGAGCTTCTACCCCAACTCCCATGACGACCATATCGTCACGACGGGCAGAGCTTCTAGTCCTCGGACGGTGTGCTGAGCCTGGGCAACAACATCTCCTTCGCGCCCCGTGCCGTCGCGCACTTCGGGGGCCGCTTCTCCTATTGCCTCGTGGACCACCTGGCGCCGTGCAACGCCACCAGCTACCTCACCTTCGTGCCGGGGCCCGAGGACGCCGCGTCCTCCAACTCCGCCGCGGCGCCCGTCGCCGCTCGATCGCCGGATGAGCCCGTTCTACACTGTGACGGTCGACGCCGTGTACGTGGCCGGCGAGGCGCTCGACATCCCCGCGGACGTGTGGGACGTCGACCGGAATGACGACGCAATTCCAGACTCCGGGACTAGCCTCACCATCCTCGCCACCCCGGCGTACAGGGCCGTGGTCGCCGCGCTCAGTAGGCACCTTGCCAGTGGCGTGCCGGAGATCCCCAAGCTGCAGGGGCGCTTCGTCGGGTCCGTGCGGCTGGCTCCGGTTCAAGCACACGCGCTGCACACTATGGCACCCCTCCCATGGGCCGCCGGAGCTCCGGAGCGTCGGCTCCGCGGACGAGGACGACGACAGGCCCACCTCCGGCTCCAGCCGCCGTGAGAAGAAGCCCCGACCATTCCCGGTGGCGCCGAACATGGCGTCGTCCTCGTCATTCTCGTACGGAGCTGCTACTGCTGCTGCTTGCTTGCCCATTCCCGGTGGCGCCGGCGAAGCTCGAGGCGCGGGAGCTTCGGCCTGCCATGGCCGCGTGGGAGCTTGAGGCAGAGGAGCTTTAGCCCGCCATGGCCATGCGGGGAGCTCCGCCCCACCATGGCCGAGGGGCACGACGGCGGTCGGTGGCCACTTGGTCGCCATGGGTGTGGGGGAAGAAGCTGTCATGGAAAAGACAGGGGAGTAGGAAGAAGATGACCAGTGGGGTCCACACGTCAGTGACATAGAGAGAGTATGGTGGAAGGGGTAGTTTTGTCCATACGAAAATACGAAGATGTTGTGTTCACCTGCAGTTGGCCCAAGGCTTCTCCGGACATATACAGTGGTATATTTCAAACATAGCAAAATTTGTAATGTTGAGGTTCAGAATAGATCAATAGTAATGATGGTCCTTCAAATTTTAAAAATAATAACAGTAGCAATTCAAAAAACCATTTTCCAAATACTGTCCCCAGCGGAGCTCCAAAATACAAAAAAAAAAAAAAAAAGAAAGAAACTGACCACTCTCCGTTGTCCATCGCGCCAGCAGTTTCTAGAATCCACTGCCTTCGATTCCCACGGCAGGGCAGCCTCATGAGCCGACCAACGGGCGCGTGCCCTCACGCGCGGCGACACCAGCAGCAGCCGCACCGGGGGCGCATGTGGGCCGCCTCCCCGGCATTCCGCAGGCAGCTCGTCCTGCTCCGCTCCCTCCTCCCTTCTCCTGACCCCTCCTCCGTCGCCGGCTTCCCCCCCTCCTGCCCCTCGTGCTCCAGCTTCCTCCGGGTCCGGGCCAACCACGCGATGGCGGCGTCCGCGGGGACGGTGTACGAGGCGGACGCGGAGGCCGTCGTGCGCCGGATCACGCCGCCGCTCGACCGCGCCAGGCACAAGGGCCAGGCAGGTCAGTACTCATTACCGCCCCCGCCCATCTTTGTCTCCTCACAAGCTCTACTCTGTGTGCCAGTGTGTTTCTTGCTGTGAGGCTGCTGATGCGCGCTGGGTGTTTGATGGAATTTCCTTGTGCTGAGTGCAGCGATCTGGGATGCGCCATGCTGGGTTCAGTTAACAGGCTGTTGGTGTTTTGTTTCGAGGACAGTGGTTCATTGTTCTCCCATGCTGTAAATTGGGGACATGCGTAGTAAAAATCGCGTCAATAGGGGTGTGCTCATCCGAATTCGATGTACAATGTTTTGGTTTGGATGGTTGACAATTCTGTTCAGTAGGCCCAAGTCTCAGAACCCTTCTCTGGAGCTAAGCATATCATTCTCTCTGCCACTGAAATAAATTCAGGAGCATTGGTTAGTGTTGAAATTGAAGTCCTTGTTCGGTATGTGGGAATGTGACGGAAGTTCCTGATGGATATTAAAGTAGGTTCGGTTTAACCGCAGTGTTCACCAGCCATTAAGGTTCAAGGGTGGGCCTTGCTTGTTGACTTGTTCTGATGTAATCAGCGGTAGAGAAGTCACAATGCACAGGCTCAGGGTCGGGAAACCTGTGGCAGCTTGTTACTGGGTATAGAGTTGTCGCATACAGAAGTAATTTTAAGCTAGAGCTATTATTGTACAAAACATGAGAATATTAAACAAATTTACATTTTGTTTGTCTTTTTTGGATATGCAGCTTATTATTTTCAGTCAATTTTTGAATCTTAACTCTGGTGTGTGTCAAATGAAATTTTAGTTATTATTAAATGTTCCTTATGTTATGTATGATTATGTTCTCAGGGAAGGTAGCAGTAATCGGAGGATGTCGTGAGTACACTGGTGCTCCTTATTTTGCTGCTATCTCTGCCTTGAAAGTTGTCAGTATCATCTAAAAAGTTTCATCACTTCAAAGTTCAAACTATCATTGCCAATATTTCACATTATGTCTTTCAGGGTGCAGATCTTTCACATGTTTTCTGCACAAAAGATGCTGCTACAGTAATTAAGAGCTATAGCCCTGAACTTATTGTACATCCAATATTAGAAGAATCTTACAGTGTAAGGTAACTGAAGTTTCATTTTTTTTTTTTCGAAATGTTAACTGAAGTTTCATTTATGTATGCAATCTCATGGTGCAGCATTCTAATCTTTATAAGAATCTCATTCTGTAAAACATTTTGGCAGGGATGATGAACGAGCATCTGTTTCTTCTAAAATTCTTACTGAAGTTGCAAAGTGGATGGAGCGCTTTGATTGCATTGTTGTTGGTCCTGGCCTTGGAAGGGACTTATTTCTTCTGGTTAGTTTGCTGTTTTAAAGAACAATAATATGTACCTCAGTCCTATTGAGTGTTATTGGTTGCTTCCAGCACAGCAATTTAGAAACATTTACTTTATTCTGGATTGTTCCATTTTTTTTGTATTCACAACCTTTTCTGCTTTTGTTTAAAATCTATGTAATTTTGTCTGTCCAGTTTAATTCTTCACTTCTTCAGTGCAGTTCATGGTTTAGTTGTGCTTACTTCAGTTTTTAACTTTTTGTTGAAGTCAATAAGCAAGATTGACTCCTGGCAAAAGGATAGGAAAGAGAAAAAAAAGATCAACTAATTTGATAATATTTCCTATATTTGTATAGAATCTAGGAATATACCTTAACTAGATGTGAGAACCCTGTGAGAGAAGTATTCTTTTGGCTCTAAATACATATGAATAAGTTAGGCTGGCTAAGTTGTGGCAAAAACTAGAACGACTACTAAAACTATAGCTGGCTAAGGCTAGACGTGGCAACCTCCAGTTGCAATCCGAACAGGCCAAAAGTTTCATTTTGGATTCTTTCTTCAATTCCCCCTGTAAGTGTTATTTTTGTAACTTTCTGTTCGTTTAGATTGTGTAGGAACTGTCTTGATACAAAAGTAATATTAGGATCCATACTTTCTCATATCTCCTCAACATATCTTATTTGTAGGATTGTGTGAGTAATATCATGAGGCATGCACGGCAGGCTAATATTCCAACTGTTGTGGATGGGGTACTACTTGGAGTTATTTATCTGTTCTTTTTTTTCCCTTAGCTTGAGTTATGAGTCATTTAAATTCGGTATGTTTGATTTTCAGGATGGTCTGTTTCTTGTAACCAATAGCCTTAGTCTTGTTGAAGGAAACCCTCTTGCCATTTTAACACCAAATGTCTATGAGTACAAGCGTCTTGTTCAGAAGGTTCTTAACTGTGACGTAGATGAGGAAACTGCTTCTGAGCAGCTAATCACACTTTGCCAAAAGTATGAACATAACATTATTGTTACTTTTTAGAATGCTTTTTTCATCATTTTTTATGTAACTAATGTTTTCTGATTATTTTTTGTTTAGAATTGGTGATGTAACAATAATGCAGAAAGGAAAATCTGATGTTATCAGTGATGGTAAAACAGGTATATTAGAGAGCTTATTTTTTAAAATTTCTAAAAAGGCTCTGCTCGGATGCCTCAGCTTCACCTTTGTTATAATTTTGGCTTATTTCCTGACTATTTATTTTTGATTTTGAGCTAATAGATATGTTGTTTTCATGTTTCTGAAGTTACGCAAGTGAGTACTTTTGGTTCCCCAAGACGATGTGGTGGTCAAGGTGACATCCTTTCTGGAAGGTCTGTTATGGTGTTACCTTCTCGGTGCTGATTGTACCTTCTTGGTGCCGATGACCCCCTCCCCCCCTCGAATGCACATGACAGTAGGCATCGGTGCTGATTGATTGCAGATTATTTATCTGCAGCTTTCTGTGAGCACTTTCCCATATTTTGTTGTTTTCGTAGCATTCACCCAAATTAGTTAATTGGAAATATAGATTAATTTCTTATTTTGCTAGCTTTCACCCAAATTTGAAAAATTTCTCCTAGGGAACTAGAACGTATTGCTTGTGTACCCATGATTGTGTTGTGAATAGGCCTGGCTATTTTAAATTCCAACCTATTTTTTCTTTATTTCTGTGATTTCTGTAAGATATTAATCTCAATATACCAGTTCTAAAAGTGTATATGTGATTAAAATGTGTTGTGTTGTAGCACATGTTTAGCATAAACAGATTAAAGTTTTTTTAGTGAAAATAATTTTAAGGATCAAAATCATACACAGCTCTTCTTTGTACTCCAAAGTCCAAACATGTACTTCTCATTTCCCATAAACAGCAAACACCTTACAGTTAACAGTATCTTTGGCTGTTTTCTATCACTATTTGTTGGTGGCAGTGTGGCGGTATTTGCATCATGGGCACAGCATTTTGTCTTGACAAATGAACAGCCTACAGAAAAAAGGTAATGCTGGATACCTTCCTTTCAGAGTGGAATCCCAAGGGCTCAATTTGGTTTTGTTCCAATGCAGAGTTAATCCTATGACCCTTGGGTGCATAGCTGGCTCTCTTCTACTCAGGAAAGCTGCATCATATGCTTTTGAGAAGAACAAGAGATCAACTGTCACCTCTGATATCATCGAGTTCTTGGGCAAAAGGTCTGTGTGCCTGCACCATATCTTTAACAATCTGTACTGAAGTTCTTCGTTTTGATGTGCAAGATCTTCACCTTGCAGCTTGGAAGATATCTGCCCTGCCGAGCACTAGCTCCTGTGAGTAATTATAGTCATGCACGTGCAACTCTAATAATGTTATCCAGGCAGTTTGATGCTCGGATCTCTCCCTTTGTATATGTCTGTTGAATAGGGTGTTACCATGCTTAGATCCAATGTTGCCCTTAGTGTTGTTGAGAAGAACTGTGCACTAGAATCATAGGACTGAAACTGGGTAAGTATAATTCTGAACGCATGTTTCTAGTCGCCTAGTGATGCAGCTGATAAATATGGTGGTTGCAAGTTTCTTTTGGGAAATCACGCTTTTGGATGAAGTACCAAATTGTTGGACGAAACTTTGGTTTAAAGTGCCACTTTCTTGAATCGATAGATGATTTGTTCTTAATTAACGACAATCCTATCCGGCCATGCCATGTTGACCTCAGCTATCCTTTGCTCACAAGAAATCAGGGCTATGCACACCAACTGCCTTCCTCTCGACAACACTATCACTATATAAACTCCTTTGAATTAGTACTCTATTGGTGCTCTCAGGCTCATAGTTTTATACCAAGCTACCGGTTCTGTTAGTAATTTCTTTGAATTGGAGTAATTAATTACTATAACTATATACTTAGATGCTCCCTTCTATTCTAAGTCGAATCTAAGGAGTTTTAAGTTACACCTAAGTCATACTTTTTAAGTTTAACCAATTTTATAAAATGTACCAATATTTCCAACATCAAACAATATACTATTATGCACCATAAATATTGATGTATAGGTACTCTCTCTGTTGCAAATTATAAGATGTTTTTTGCTGTTCTAGATAGATTACTTTTACTATGTATCTAGACATAGTGTATATCTAAGTGCATAGCAAAACCAATGCATCTAGAAAAGCCAAACATGTTGCTGCATAACTTTATTTGTAATAACAGACAACACTGGATAGCCAAAATATGTTCTTAGTCAGTTGGAACATACATCCTGCGCTGGACTGACATATCAAGGTATGCTTGCGTGGCTGCGTTTCTTGTCACACGTAGCATGTCCATATATGATAAATTTGGCGTGCCTGCAGTTTATTCCATTTGTGTGCAAATACCAATTACTAAATTAAATACATATACAATAAAACATGGAAATTGGGCTAAAGATAAATAGCTACTGAAAGTATTAACATCAATAGCTACAACAAACCTACTAATGTCCTGATATAAGCTAACACCACCATGTCACCAGACACCAGTCCTAAGCTTCTTCTGTTACCAACGATCCTTGGGTCAGATGTGCATTGTTCTCTTTTCCAGCAGCCAAATACAGTGTCTGTCCTAGGCAACCCAACCTGGCAAGGGGATCTCCATTTCTTCACTAACTGATAACTATTCTCCAAAGAACCTGTACACAAGACCATTTTTTGGTTCTCACGTATACCGTCCTAAGTACACATCACGTTTCTCGAAAAGTCAAACTTTTTAAAGTTTAAAACATTTATATCACCAAATAAGTTTATTATAGAAATATATGCCATGATTGATCTACTGATACTTATTACGCATAATAAATAATGGTACTTTTTCTTACATATTTTTATGAAAATATATGTCATGATTAATCTACTAATACTTATTACAAATCATAAATATTAGCGCTTTTATATATATATTTGGTGAAACTTAAAAAACTTTGACTCCTCAAAAAGCAATATGTGCAGTTATTTTGGACAGAGAGTATGCCTTAATTTTAAATAATCCCTCTCAATACAAGTGTCCACATTCATCTTTTTTTTTTTAAAAAAAAGAAGCGGGCAGGAGAGTTGTTTATTATATAAAAAAGAAAAATCCAGATTGGATAAAAGTAGCTAGTATAAACTAATAACTAAAAACAACAAAGACTACATCAGGTGGTTGGCGGTTGCATTGAGACATCAACACACCCGCACAAGGAGGATAAACCACCAAACCATACCACTTTCCCCTTAGCAAAAGAAGGCACAAAGCAACGTCACTCCGCAACCATCCCAACACTATCATCGGATGATAAAATTACCAAGTTGCTTGCACCACCGTTGAAGGCGATGCCCACACCAACCAAGCCATTGTCATGCAAGGCAAGTCGTTGCAGGCCGCTGCAAGCTGTGTAGTTGTTGCGGCATTGTTGCCCCTTGCGACATTTGCCAACGTTGTCCTGCACCGGACTAACCACTGTTATGCAAGAATACCTATCACATCTTGCCTCTAGTCGCTGACTATATAGCTCCAATCAACCTAGCTGCCTTGCCAAAAGCACATCTCCAAGGAGGCGCTTCTAGCAACCAAACTAAAGGTGCGTAAGCAAATGGCCACTTTGTGCCGCATCGGCCTCTTGCCAACTTTGTGGACACCTCCAACGCATAGCACGCCCCGTCGTTGCCAATGACTACAACTGATAACCGCCCTGCTCGCTTAGGCTTGTTTGGCTGATAAGTTATGGCCGAAAATACTGTTGGCTGATTTGGTGTGAGAGAAAAATACTATTTGTTGATTGAAAAAGTATAACATATAAGCCAAACAAGTCTAAGCGAACAATGTAGATGCTTTCATCAAGTCTGCCTCCCGCCTCCACCAAAGCCCAGTCTCTCAGCTCGACCGCTAGAGAGCCCCAACACCCACTGGACTCACCATTGCATCATGAACACCAACACGTGCTGCCCGTTGCGCGAGCCCTACCAGACCACCACTGTCCTCCACGCACGGCCTCGCCTACGGCTACCAACTCGCTCCACCCACGAACACTGAGAAAACCAAACTGTTGTTTGCACAGTCGTGCCCAGTTGTACCTTGACACCACCACCACTACAAACAGATCTACCCATGTGGTGATGGGTCCAGTCGCTAGGACGCCAGAGCAGCCCATCAGTTGGCTGGAACCAGAGGCTGCGCCAGTGAAAACGAAAGCCGCACCACCTGCAGCAAAAGGCCCCACCACCACCAAGTCCACCAACCTCACCTCAGCCATCCCAGGCGCAATGCCGGACCATCCCACGTGAAGCCACGCACGGGCGCACGGGTGTAGCAGCCGCACCGTCGCCACCTCCGCGTCTGCTGCCTAGGCCACCCTAGAAGCAGGCCAGGGGGAAGGGCAAGCAAGATCCGGCCTAGGGGCTAGGCCACCCTAGACAGCCTGTTCGTTTGGCTATGGCTTGTCGTAAACGATCGTAAATTTTCAGCCGGAACAATATTTTTCTCTCACACAAACCAGCCAGCAGTACTTCTTCACGAACCAACAACGATACGAACCAGCCAACCGGACAGGCTGCTAGCCATGGGTCGCCGTATCAGTACCCGCAAAAGCGCCAACAACAGCCCAAGCACATGCAGGGGGAAAAGAGAGGAGCGTCCCCGCCACCGTCTTCGCACCGGCACGGGCTTCCACTCGCGTGCTCTGACTGCGGCGATGCTAGTTAAGTGCGAGGTGCGGTGATTTTGGTGCCCATGTCACCCCAGAGAGGAGAGACATGGGGAACAGTATGTGTCGTCTTTTTTCTATGTTAAGTGTCCACAATCATCGTATCTAACCTTGACTAATGCACATTATTGGCAGTAAAAACACAAATAAACAAATAGTTTAACATCAGTGTCAACCAGAGTTTATTTAATAGTTCCACGATAGAACATGAATCAGATAACTGGCAGAGGATCACATTTCGGAGCTGGTTCAGTAAGGATCAAGAACCTGAGATGATGCGAATCAGGTCACTTATGCGCAAGCAAACCAACAAAAATATGCTAACCTGGCACAAACAATGAACAATGCAATAAAACAAGTAGAAGGGCAAAGTAGTAGAAATCAGAGAGCAGAAAGTTACCTTCTAATGAAACAGCTACAGTGAAGCTAGAATATCCCTCATTTCGTTCACAGATGTCACCTTTTCATCAGGATATATTTTCGAAATCAACTTAAGGAATGTTGTATATTTATCAAGAAACTCTTTCTGCAACAAACGACACATCAAGCATGAAAAATTAGCAAGTTGTTTCCCTTGAAAGCATAAGTCTTGTTGTTAGGAGTAGTTAGTGCATATGTCTGCACCTTATCTTTATCTTATCTTGCTTTAGCATCTACTTTAGCATGTCAAGAATATGTTGTAATCCTTTCTTAATGATCAAGTATGCAGCCCTATATGTATCCCCAACCTGTCATAGTTTGCGGTAAGGTGGTAAGGCTAATGAAATCAAAAACCTAGCCCCAAACCTGTGATTTGGTTCTAACAAATGGTATCTAGAGCCTAGTTATCTTCCCTGTGTTCTTACCCATCCCAATCCAGCATGTCCGACCACTCCAATCGCTCGACCACCTCCAGTAAGACAAGACAAGCAAGCAACCGAGCTGGTCACGGCGAGACGGTCTGCTCAACAATGACTTTGCGGCCGCCGAGCTCATGATGCGCTGGCCGCCGAGGAGGCCAGCGTCGCGGCTGCTTCTTTGCATTGCGAATGACAATGAGGCGGCTGCCCTATGGGAGGTCGGCGCGGCGGTAGCGGTGATTTAACTCGCCCGGGCTCGCGACGCGGACACGGACATGGAGTTGGCGCGCGCGAGCGGATGAGCGAGCGTGGGCGGACGCGGAGGCTTCGATGCGGGACGCGACGCCGAGCGGGTACGGCTACGGGTGCGCGCGGGCCGCGTAGGAGCTGCGGCCGAGCGGGTCCGACCCAATGCGGGCGACCTAGATGGACTGGGCAGATACGACTCCGACGGCGACGGCCTCGACCTGGACCTACGGGCCGCGCGGGAGGCGCACCAGGCACCGAACTAGGGCGGGACGTGGTCGCGACGGGCAGAACACAGGCATGCGAGCCGACGCGGACGCTAGTGCACGGGCCTGGCGGGATCCGGGAATCGACCACGCACTAGAGGCCCAACGACTGTGGGAGCAGGCGACGCAGCTGGACTTCGACCGGGGGCAGGGCGGATGGGATGCTTTGGCGCCACGGATCCCTCACAGTGGCGGGCCTCCCCTCCCCGTCTCACCGACGCCGCGGTCGCCCGTGGTCGCCCCTGGCTCCCCTCTTGTCGTCCAGACCGTCTTCAAGGACGCCGACGGCGGCGGTGGCTGGCCCATGCTCACCAAGACCAACTACGCCGAGTGGTCCATGGTGATGAAGGTGAAGATGTAGGCGCGGCACATGTGGGACGCGGTCTGGTACGGCGACGCCGACTTTGAGGAGGATCGACGGGCACTGGAGGCGTTTCTTGCTGCTGTTCCGACGGAGATGCAGTCCTCCCTCGCGAACAAGAAGACTGCTAAGGACGCCTAGGACGCCATCGCCGTGGCACGCATCGGCAGCTATCGTGCTCGCAGATCCATGTTGCTGAAGCTGCGACAGGAGTGGGAGAACCTGGCCTTCAAGCCGGGCGACGACGTCGACGACTTCGCTCTCCGCCTCAACACCCTGATGCAGCAGTTGGCGCGGTGCGGCGACAACGACATCGATGAGGAGAGAGCCGTCGAGAAGTTCCTCCACATCGTCCCGAAGAAGTACTCATAGGTCGCCATCGCGATCGAGATGTTGTTGGACTTCTTCGAGCTGTCGATCGAGGAGGTGACGGGTCGCCTCAAGGCCATCGACAACCGTGAGCAGCAACCTCCCTCAGAACCGGTCACCATCGGTGGCAAGCTTCTCTTCATCAAGGAGCAGTGGCTCGCTCACCAGCGGGAGCGAAAGAAGCGGGAGGCCTCGGGTTCTTTGGCTTCGGGTTCGTCAAGTAGCCGCAAGCGTCGGCCGCGCAAGCGGGACAAGGCGCGTGGTGGCGCTCTCGACGGCGCCCGACGACGAAGCGCAAAGGCAACCAGCGGACGACACACAAGAACTACGAGAGAGACCGCCATCTTTGGGACAAGGACTACCAGCAGACGATGCGCGCGTGGTCAGCACACGTCAGCGCAAAGCAGAGGGGACGACGACTCTGATTTTCGTGACAGGGAGCATCGAGCCGCACTCCTCTCCCGCACTGGCCGCCGCCGCGCTCCTCCACCTCGATGAGCCACGGGCCCACATCTTCCTCGGCAACGGGTCCGGCGACGACAAGATCGATGGGTGGTACCTGGACACCAGCGCCACCCACCACATGACCGGGCGGCGGGAGTTCTTCTCCGAGCTTGACTCTGGCGTTCGAGGCTCCGTCAAGTTTGGGGACGCCTCCGCCGTGAAGATCAAGGGCGTCGGCTCCGTCGTCTTCACTGCCAAGACCGGTGAGCACCGACTGCTCACTGGTGTCTACTACATCCCTACGCTGAGAAACTCCATCATCAACTTGGGACAGCTGGATGATAACGGCTCGCGCGTGGAGAATGAGCACGGGGTCCTGCGCATCTGGGATCGCCATTGTCACCTTCTCGCCTAGGTGAATAGAGGCACCAACCGCCTCTACGTCCTCCACATGCAAATGGCGTAGTCCGTGTCTTGCAGCCCGCCGTGACGGCGCTGGCGCTTTGTGGCACGGCGCTTTGGGCACCTCAACCCGAGGCCTCACAAGCAACTCGGCAACAAGGAGATGGTGCAGGGCATGCCGCGAGTCGAGCACGTGGAGCAGTTCTACGACACCTGCGTCCTCACCAAGTAGCGGCGACTTCCCTTTCCTAGCCAGGCGAGCTTCCGCACTAAGGAGAAGCTGGAGCTCGTGCATGGCGACCTCGGCGGTCCCGTGACACCGGCCACACCTGGAGGTCGGCGCTTCTTCATGCTCCTCGTCGACGACGTGTCCCGCTACATGTCGGCGGCCCTGCTTGACACCAAAGGCGGCATTGCAGACGTCATCAAGGCTGCTTTGTGGAGAGTGCGGCCTGGCGTCGAGTGCTACGCACCGACAACGACGGTGAGTTCACGACGGCTGAGTTCACGGCGTACTGCGCCGACGAGGGGATTCAGCACCACTTCTCTGCGCCGTACACCCCGCAGCAGACAGCGTCGTTGAGCACCGTAACTAGACGGTGGTGGCCACAACCCACGCCCTCCTCAAGCAGAGAGGGATGTCGGCAATCTACTGGGGTGAGGCGGTGATGACCGTCGTTCACCTGCTCAACCGCTCGCCCACCAAGGCCCTCGACGACAAGACACCATACGAGGCCTGGCACGGGCGCAAGCCAGTGGTGAGCCACCTCCACGTCTTCAGCTGTCTCGCTTTCGCCAAGGAGCTCAACCACGTAGGCAAGCTTGACGATCGGAGCACGCTGGGGGTCTTCATCGGCTACGCGGAGGGTGTCAAGGCCTACTGCATCCTCGACCCTGCAACACAGCGCGTCCGCATCTCCTGGGACGTTGTGTTCGACGAAGGGCGAGGCTGGGCCTAGGACAAGGCGGTGGACGACGGCTCGGCTTCGACCCTTAGAGACTTCGTCGTCGACTACGTCCGCTTCGAGGGAGCCGGGGGATCTAGCAGCTCATCTTCATCGAGCTCGTCTACCTCAGCACCTACTCGCCACCTCCGGCAAGTCCTCCACCGCCTACACGAGTGAGTCTGCCAACAGCTCCACCACCGGCTACGCCCCGCTCTCACGTTCCAAGCTCGTGGCACCTGCCGCAAGCCGTAGAGGGCCTTGCGCAGGGGGAGAACCTTGTTCTCCTTGCCGGGGATGACGAATCCCGACGATTGGTGGACGTAGACTTCCTCCTTCAGGTCACCGTTGAGGAAGGCGAACTTGACGTCCATGTGGTGCACATGCCAACCCTCTGGGCCGCAGCGCGAGAGACGAACGGACTCCATCCAGCGACGACGCGCGCCAGCGTCGTTGAAGTCGACTCCCTCTTCTTTGAGCGAACCACAGCGCCACCAGATGCACCTTGTGCTTGATCACCGCCCGGCCTCATCCTTCTTGAGCTTGTAGATCCACTTAAGGGTGATGGCGCGGTGGCTGTAGGAAGATCCGCTAGCTCCCACGTCCGGTTCCGCTCGACCGCGTCCATCTGCTGCATCGCGACGCGCCATGCCGCGTCTCCCTCCGCCTCAGCGACGAAGCAAGGCTCGCCGTCCTCGTGCACCGTGCACCAGGTGCAGCTCCGTCTCTGTAAGGAAAATGGACCCTAGGCCCATTTACTTTGGATTTTGGTGTTTGATGACCAACACAACCAAATTTGACTAATAAATTTGCAAGTAATTGTTTTGTAGTTCAATAGGGTGCAAGGCGTGACTTGACGAAGGCAACATGATGATCCATTGATCAACACCTTAAGCAAGACCTTAGAAGCACAAGAGAAGACCCAATATATCAAGCATAGTCCAAGCACGAAGATGGGAACTAAGCTAAGACGCAAGATCGCGAAGAAACAAGCTCGGCGAGGTGACCGGACGTGGCCCTAGGAGGACCGGACGCGTCCGATTAGTTGCTCGGCAACAACAGCGTCATCGGCGGCGACGATCGACGCCGAAAGCGATGGCCGATCGCCGCAGACTTCTTCACCGTTTCGTCGTCAAGCAACAACTCAATGAGGACCGGACGCAACGGCCTTTGGATGACCGGACGCACAAAGTCTGGCGTCCGATCATGTCGAGAGAGGTTCTAGAGCGGCGCAAATCGACCCACGCAGCGTCTGGTTGATGATGACCGGACTTCGACAAGCGTCGATCTCTACGCGCGTGCTCAATGATCGGGACGACGGACGCGTCCGGTCGGGATGACAACAGCGTTCGGTCAGTAGCATTAAGCTGGATTCCGCCCCAACGGCTACTTTCTCTATGGGGCTTATAAATAGAACCCCCAACCGGCCATTTGAGATGTGAAGAGTTGATGAAACATACCAAGGGTGTTGATACACCATTTTAGTGATCTCCACTTGCATAGTGCTTAGTGATTCATTAGGTGATTAGCGTAGGTGCTTTACGAAGTGCTTAAGTTGATTAGACCACCACTTATGCGCTTGCTCTGAGTTTAGACCGAGTGTTTAGTGGGATTTGCATACCTCTTATCACTTTCGGTGCTTGCATGCCGCACCATTGTTGTACATCGGAGGGCTTGTAGTCTTGCGAGATCACACCAACCGTGTTTGTGGTGTGGCCGCCACCGTGTCTCGAAGAACAAGGCCCAAGGCGTTTGATCGGAAGCTTGATAGTGAAGGCGGCGGGAGTATCCGGGAGAGGCTTGCCGGAAGGCACGTTGGAGACCCACTTGTGCGTGGGGAAGGCTCGAGGCTATCCACGGAGTTACCCGACCGGGAGCTTGGCCCTTGCGAGGGATTCCTTGCAAGGCGCTCTAACGAGGACTAAAGGGAAGCTTGCACGTTTCTCGATACCTCGGTAAAAATACCGGAGTCGTCGACGGGAGTTTGCATATCTCTACCTTACTCTTTAGGTTCCGCATTTACATTACAATCTTGGTGTGTGCTTTACTTTTCTAGCTTAGTGATTGGCTAGTTGATAGGTTTGTAACCTATGTTGCATAACTCATTTTGCGATAGAGATAGCAACATACTAGCAAAACCATAGTTGTACATTTAGATGGTTTATCTTTTTGCATATGTTTTGTTAAGGTTAGAAAAAGAGGTCATAGTTTAGAGTTAGAGTTTTAAGTTGCCTAATTCACCCCCTCTCTTAGGCGTCACGGTCCCTTTCAGCCTCGAAGTCATGCATCGCTAGTCCAGGGACGGGCTGATCACCGAAGATGTTGTCCAAGGTGCGGTAGCACAGAGGCTTGACGTCGTGGTAGGCATCGACGCGATCCTCGTCGTTGGACAGCGGAGTGGTGAACTCCACCGTGCGCTGCTTGTCACAGACCAAAGCTGCTAGTGCCGATCTCGGAGGTGTGGGCGCCGATGCAGGAGATTGGGGCGTAGCCGGTGGTAGAGCGTGGCGTAGCCAATGGTGGAGCTGGTGGACCCGCTGGTGTAGGCGGTGGAGGACTCGCCGGAGGTGGCGAGCCAGGTGTTGAGCCGCGATAGCACGACGAAGGTGGTCGACGCCACACAGTACCGGCGCATTGTGGGCAGTCTTCGCTACCTCGTCCACACGTGGCCGGACCTAGCGTTCGTCGTTGGCTACGTCAGTCGGTTCATGCAGCGCCCGACGACGGAGCATTAGCAGGCTGTCAAGAGGATCCTCCGACTACGGCTTGCACTACCTGAGGTGCCCCACGCGTGGAACACTTCATCGAGTAAAGCGACAGCGACCTCGCCGGCGACATCGACACAAGCAAGAGCACTAGCGGGACACTATTCTTCCTTGGCAAGTGTCTCGATCACCGGCGATCGGTCAAGCGGCGGTGGTGGCCCTTTCGATTGCGGGCGAGTACATCGCTGCCACTACTGCTTCGACTCAGGCTCTCTGGTTGCCTCGGCTGCTAGGAGATCTCCTGGGCAGAGACGCAGAAGCAGTGGAGCTCAGGGTGGACAGCAAGTCCGCCTTGGCCTTGGCGAAGAACCCCGTCTTCCATGAGCGCAGCAAGCACATCCGCATCAAGTACCACTTCATTAGAAGCTGCTTGGATGAGGGGAGCATAAGGCCGGCTACATCAACACCCAGGACCAGCTCGCCGACCTTCTCACCAAGTCCCTTGGGCGGGTCAAGTTTCAGGAGCTTCCCGTCAGGATTGGGATGGTTCAAATTCCCCAGAAGGTGCCACACAAGACTTAGGGGGAGAATGAAAGCATAAGTCTTGTTGTTATCTATCTAGGATGCTTATCTTAGGAGTAGTTGGTGCATATGTCAGCACCTTATCTTTATCTTATCTTGCTTTAGCATCTGTAGAATATGATGTAATCCTTTCTTAAGGACCAAGTATGCAACCCTATATGTATCCCCAACCTACCATAGTTTGTGGTAAGGTTAATGAAATCAGAAACCTAGCCCCAAACCTGTGATTTGGTTCTAACATCCCCTACTTCAATCAAACTTATATGGCATTTCTTTTATAAGACAAATTTGGCTAAGGAGAACAAAGATCAAACACTGTGAGAGGTACAGCATCTTCTGTGTCTCACTAAAGAGATTACAATAGCTCCCCTCTTCATTTCACTGTTTACCATTATGAAGAGAACATACCTTGCATTTTTCCCATAGTGAAGGCAGCAATTCCTCGGCAGTCATATTCTTCTGTAGTTTTCTATACATTGCATTGATTGTCTTGTCAAGCTGTCAACCAGATAAAATGAGAGTAAGGGATATTGCTTTATGACTAAGTTCATGAAAGTTCATAGATGTTAAAGACGAATTTACTCTCAACTTACTCCAGTTAAGCTAGACTTCAACATCTTGCGAAAATCTACCTTTGACATTCCAACTTGGAAGGGTATCTGTGGCAGTTAGAAGTATCCAACAATATACACTTTATACTTCTACCAACAGAACATACTGGGCACTAAGCCTAGAGAGTTAGACATTTGAAATAACTTTGTGAGCAAAAAATGCATTAGACAGGAAACAGTTTACGGTCATGGACTGTAGAAGATAGACTACGTAGCATAGCAAAGCATGGATCTAGAACAGTGCAGAGTTCATTAGTAAAAGCATTAAGGGTATTTCGATATCATTATGTCTATGGAAATACATCTTAACTGAATAACATGTTACTATTGGATGTGGTAACTAATTAATTTTGTTTCTCAAGAAATAGAAGGCACATGATCAAGACAGGGATCATTATCTGAAAACACTGATGAATATATTTTAATACCACACAAGTCCAAGCTAAAACAATGCCGACAAATTTACCAGAGAAAATAGTCCAGCTCTGAGATTAGGTCACTACATGGCATAAACTTTCAGGAAGACAACGCAGAACCAAATCACGTGACTCACCTCCTCAGGGCTCATGTTGTACATTAATTCCTCAATTTTCCGAGCGAATTGGAATAGCTTTTCGAAGTGCTGAAAAACGCAAACAGGCATAAGTTCTGTGACACAAGCAGTAAATATAAATGCCTTAGGCCTTGTTTGGATGTAGTCCGATTCGAATCAATCCACATGTGTTAGGGTGGATTGGAGTGGAACTTGAACTAAATTACACCCCAATCCACACCGACACATGTGGATTGAGGTGAATCCGATAACATCCAAATAATGCCTTAGTGTATCGTCCCATTGGGAAATGGGAATGGAACCGAAAGGAGTTACAGACAGCTTACAATATATATGACCAAATTGATATGGCGTGAACAAGCTTGTTCATAGGCTTCACTAGCTTGATGATAATATTTAGCAAGTGTTGGCACAACATTTGCCAAATCATACAAGCTGCATATCCAATTAATTATATCGTTAATTGGTTCTACAAAACGCTAGGTATTCACAACTGTTACGGGTAAATTTCCAGCATTACTTGGTGCAGTTTATGACATTATATGTACCTTCATTCCGCAAACACAAAAACTTGGTGTTGCTGTTTTCAAACCTTTTTTGCTAAAGAAAAGTTCCATGTTTGCATTGGACATGAGATGTTCACATCTCATTTTTCATTATTTTTTTTCTTAATTCTTACATGAAAGTGTTGATTTTTTTTGTCACTTGGAGTCAATAGTTGTTGAGCAGATTGCAAGTGACAGATTATATGGAAGATCATAAAAATAACTAAATGCTATTTAGTGGGACATATGGACAGGACAGGTTCAATACAAAGTTGAAGGAGTGGGTTGCATCATTGCTGCCATCAGCTCATTTGTATAGGATGCACGCCTCAATAAAGAAACTGGTGAGTGAGAGGGGAATGCTGAACAAGCACTGTTTGGCGATTGCTTCTCCAAGATTGGCCCCCAAGACTCAGGGATCTAGTATATTATGGGGTTAGGCCCAACTGTTTGGCACTTGCTTCCCAAAGGTTGGGCCTTGTCTAAATGCAAAGTGTTCATTTGGCTAAATTGGCTTGCAATTAAAAATAAATGTTGGACTGGGCAGATAGATTAGCAAGAAGAGGTCTTTCACACCCTCATAATTGTGTGTTGTGTGATCAGAAAGATGAAACGGTCCAGCACATACTTACTTGTGAGATCAAATGGCAAGGTGCCCAGGCAGTGAACTTGTGAAGCGGGTATATGAGGAGATAAGGCAAATGTGAAGAGGGAGCTTATCTCTTTCTCACATCTTAAGCCTCTTAAGGTCATGCACTCAAGCTCTATGGCTTTCCTATGTACAACAGTTACTATGCTGTGTTAATATTTACTACTTAGGTATTTTATTTCTTTTTTGTTATAGTTGATGAGGCAGCTGAAGGGTGTGTGGATTTTCCAATTAGTTCCTAAAATTTATATAAAGGAATGGCAATATCCCAGTTGCACCAATCAAGGTTGCACAAAGCTTTAGCTATTAGTTGGAGGTTGGAACCTATTAGCTGTAGTTTCCATAAAATAAGTTATGAATGAAGGACGTAAGCATCATTATAGAGCTGTAAATGCCATAAAACAGTGGCACAGTCATACAAATGCACACAGAAGAGCACCAGGAGAAAAAAGAACTAAACCTGTGCTGAAAAGCTGCATAGTTTTCCAAAAGTACAATATCAACATATTTAGGTTCCACTTGAGCAATTTTCTCCAGTATAACAAACATAATACTGACCTGTTTCAGTCACATATGGTTAACTAGAGGTGTGGTTGAGGACACAAATATAAATCGGAGTGGTATGAAATGGCCAACATTGGTTGCAAATGCATCAGTAGTTGGCGCATAATTTGTTAAATTATTTTTAACATTGGATGGTGAGGGGTCAGTAAGTTCATACGATTTTAGTATATGCCTGGTCAACTAGATCCCTGGATCCATTGATATATTGCTCCATACGTGCTGCAAGTTGTGAGAATCTATATAATAGAAAGGAATATGAACAAATTCAGATAAACATAGTTATGTATACCCATAGAACCTATGGCAGAATTTTTCAGAATTTACAAATATCAATTTTAAACATAACACAGACCTGGGAATATAGGGAACAACTCCAACTTGCCGCACATTGCGCTCATACTTCTCAATCTGGTAGCAGGCATCATCAACAAACTGCACTGACCAAGAATATGAAAGAGTAAGGAACATATGGAAGAACTCTCCAAAGTAGAAAAAAGGCTAGCCTAATGGTAGAGTCAAACCCTGCTAAATAAAATTGTTATTCTTGTCTCCAAGTCATCAAGCAACACTTGTACATATCCGGAGACCTCTGCTTTCTGACCAGAAAGATACCGATCTGTTATTCCGTGCATAGATATGCAACTCAGTGGATCTAGCTTGAATGCCCAGTCAACCAAAGTATAAAAGTCCTCCTGAGAAGGAACCATATAAAACAAGTGATGTTTCAACAGTACAGTCCAAAATGTTGTTAATTCAGCTTTTGGCTCATCGGCATTTATATGCAATATGTGAGGAAAACTAATAAGGTCAACCTGAATACCATCAAGCAACTCCTGAAGGCATTCATTTAGCGCTCCCAGCTCGGCTGGATTGTTACCTGGAAAAATATTAACTTTTACACTTTTCTGAAAGGAAGAAAATCAATACATTCACTCCAAAAAATACTGTTTAACTTGGGAGGTGGTGGTTTATATTACTTGTTTTGCCAATGCTTGCAGAAGCTTCTAATGCAACCGACGAAGTACTAGTTGATTCAGCATTAGGATTGCTACTTGAAGCATCAGATTGAGAAAGTGCGGAAACTTCGAAGCACATAAAATGTGCAAGGAATGAGCTCTAGTCGCAGATATTCATGAATAGTGTCGTTAGGATACTAATATTATTAAGTCTTAACAAAAATAATTCAATGAAATACAGAACAACCTCATCTACAAGAAGTGGAATGAAAACAGTAATCATCTTGGAGTATGCATCTGCAGGACTATCTGTAATACTTGCAGGCTGGTTTGCACCGGCAGGACCCTCAAACAATGGTGTGCTGCTCTTTGACGCTTTTGAACTATTACGGAGTTCATTAGAAAAGTCACGTGACTACAAAACAAATGTGAGATTATTATGTCAGACCATTGTTTTTGTTATGCAATTTTTGAAGTTAGAGTCCTAGAATTTCTTAGAAAATTTAATGATGTATACTAAGCAGAAGTCAATAATTTTGATTAACTTTCAGTATTGAAGAGAAAATTAAAAAAAAAAGTACTCATAGAACCCCACCTCACGTCGAATTAGCACGTTCAGTGAATGGCAGTAAGCTTTCCGCAAAGGCATCATACAACTCTTGTCCAAACTCTTGAAAACAGAGTATAAAGAGGGCATTAGAATGCACCAAATTTTACTAGCTAAAAGCCACTTGTTCCTCGTTATCAGTAGGAAAAACTTTCACATCGAGTTATTATGCAAAAACCTTGATGTGTTGTAGAAGCCGTGCATAAGTCCTGCATTTGTACCTCATATCAGCGTGATCAGGCCTCTGCAGCTGACCTCGCTGCAAGTGTTTAGGAGTGTGATAACAAAGATCCTGATTTTATCCTACACTTCAATATTACAGCTATTGAAGCCAGATTTACCTGAGAGAAGTTTCCTTTGTCATTTAGCATAGAATCAATCAAACTAGGAAAGTAATTCCTTAAAAATTCTGATGCCCTCCGAACGAAGGTGCACTTAAGAAGTACAAATTCTGCACGTTTTTCCCTAACCTGTATATTTTTGCAAATCAGATGCAAATTAGTTAAGCCACATTTTTTTTTTAAATAACACAAAAGAATTACGTAAAAGCTGTGCATTATCCATAACATTATAGCCATAATCCAGATTTCCATTTCAATACCGTATCATCATGAGTGGGAACCCAAATTTCAAGAAGAATAGAAAGAAAAGAAGGCAATAGACATTTGACTTCTGGATTCGGCTTGAATCAAAGTTCAACATTATTTAAGTAAAACCACTTTAGCTGGCATCCTTTTTCAAGATGTATTTAATTAAACGGAAATTATTCTAACCTTCCATATGAAATAAATTTAATTGTCTCGGGAATTTTTCTTCTTTTCTCTGATCAATATATTTATCTTTCAATATCCCCAAAAGTCCTTCAAATGCTACAGGAGCAACATACTAATACATATATAATAAGGATTAAGTTAATATCCACTGATTTGCAATACTAAACGAAAATCTCAGGCATGTAAACCTTCAATAGGAAAAGAAATGCTAATTGTACCAAGGGAGAGGACCTACAGCACGCAATTTTACATAGATTGGGTCTATGTTGGATGCTTCTAGGTTCTTTATAGCACTGGTTAACCAGTCACAGGCTTCAATGTTCTTAACCATATTTCCTTCATCAAATGATCCTCCAGTTAATGATGCCTCATACTGCAGTATGATCAATAGCATCAGGAATTTCGGTACTATTGTAGCATAAATATTAATACAGGAAAAAGGAATTAATAGGTCAATAGAATGCACACCTCAGGTGGAATCTGCAGCAGCACAAGCAATTTGTCAACCTCATCAATCAAAGCCACATTACTATCAGATTGCAACTCCAGTCTGTTATTACGCCATTCTATCTGCAAAACCATAAGGTATATATGTCTACTGTCAGTTCATGCATGAACTCGTACATTTTAATGGAATAGTTTTGGGGAGCTTCGGCATGATCAGACACGTAAATAGATCTGGTTAGTGAAACAGTTTATGGTAGTTTGAATTCAGTTTCTGACAGATGGTGCATATTATTTACCTATTAGATAACATAGAACGAATGCCCTCACAGAGAAAGAAGATCCAAAATTACACAACGACAGAACAAATGTTGCCTACAAACACCTCTACTAACTCTCTTGCAGGTTTCTTGACCTTGCTTCCTTTTTTTTCTCGAAAACAGAAGAGCTGCATTTTTTTTTGCATTAAGAAGGCGACAACCCTTACAAACACACATTACAGGAAAACAAAAACAGTTCAGTTTAGTTTACAAAAGGTTGCACAGATCGCCGATGACAAACGACAAACACGATCCAGCCAATCGTAAAGCCTGCTACTGTTCCCCATCCAGCACAAAGGCAAGGAGGTGGGAAATTCTTTTAGCCCCGTTACTGCATTATTACCAAAAAGAAAAAAAAAAGATAACACTGCTGCACAGATTACAAAGGCCACATTACAATTGGACTTGTGTGTTGCATTATCATCTTCTACAACCTTGAAGTTCACTATAAACTGGAATTATAAGTTTCTAATTACTTGATATAAATGTGAAGGGTAACATCCATCGCAGGTCATAAATGAATATTTATCAATGATCCTGCAACTTCATCTTGTACATATGTTCATTTTTTAAACAATTAATATGAATATGGTAGGAGATTGCCCTAATGTCTTCAGTAGAGACAACACTAAGTGTAAATTTGAACAGCCAAGATGCACTATAAGCTGTAAGCCTGTGACAAGCAATTCAAATTAGTTACATTAAGCTCTTATTGGGCTTCTTTCCCTCAGACAACCCTAGAGTTCGGTTTCAAATGTATCAGGCATTAAAGGGGAAAATAATTTTAATCACAACAACCCTAAGGAAATATAATTTGCGCATATACATTAGTAAAGGTGAAAGTAAGCATACAGATTGTATATCCTCCCTCATATGCCTGAGCTTTATATTGAAAATCCCTAGCCATTCATCCATATCTTCAACACATATACTGGCTATTTCTAGACCCTGCAATACCTGCAGGAAAAGAATACAGATTTTTTAAATTTATTGGAATTACCATTGAGAATAAAATAGTTGTATATAACCAGTCAAATATTTAAGGATGAGATAACAGGCACTCAATGGAACCTACCGAAACGAAATAGTTTTGGCATATGGTTGGTAATGAATTCATTTTTTCAATATATTTCAACATATAAGGTAAATCATGATCCTGCAGTGTTGAAACCTAACAGGCCTCTTCTCCGTGTTGCGGGCACGACGGCGAGGTGCTCGTGACATGCGGGTGGATCTGGCAATGTGCACAAACCCTGTGTTGGGCTAGCGGTTGGCGGTCGATCCAGGCCTGTGGGCGCCGCTTGACAATGGCGACGGTCGGAAACGCACCCGCTCGGAACCTGAATGTAACAGGAGTTTTCACCTTGCTCATTAATCTGAACGTGGCTTGCCTTGGCAACAGTGGCGTGAGGCGGCTAAAGGGTGCTAATCCGTGTTGCTCGCTTGGCCAGTGGCCTCCGGATGATGGGGCACGGCTCCAGCATCTTGTGCGGGGTGATCCCATCGCGCCTCGCCAGCAAAGCAAAGGACCTAGCCACCAAACCTTGCCGCACCATCCATTAGTCCATTTGTGGTATCTTTTGTGGGGTTGGGGTGGGTTGACCTGGGCGAAAGCCTCAGCTAGCTCTGGTTGGAGCCAACTATGGTGACACCTTACGGTGCGACTATCTTCATTGGAACCATCGTTGGGGCGTCCATTCTCAAACCGTGGTAAATCTCTAGGGGAAACTCCACCTAGAGCATAGGCGGGTGGCGGCGCTAGGCGTTGTATCCCTCCTTGAGGCACCGCCCAGGGGATCCCACGCTGAAGACACGAAAGTAGAGATGGAGGGTCGAGGGCGTATGGGCGACAACAGTAGCCGTAGCTCACCGGTGACCGACCACCAATGGGCAAGATAAGTTGGGTAAGGCGCCTATTCAGGGACTTAAGGGCCTTCGTCGAAGGCACTTGCCGTCCTTCTTAGCTCAACGGTGACCGACCCCCAATGGGCGAGATAATCTAGGTGAGGTGCCGATTCACGGATTTAAGGGCCTTCATCGCAAGCACTAGCGTCCTTCCTGCTTATCTCCTGACCCGCTAGGTGGTGTTAACAGATCGGTGTGAGGCTCTCGTTTTTGGACGCTGGAAGGAGGAATAGTTTGGATGAGGATAAGGGGCCTGCCAAAGCTCTTCCTAGTTGAGCGTTGAGTTTGTTCAGATGCACTGTGCGTCTCTAGAGGCAGACTGTGGTTGATTATTGAATACTTCGATGCTGGAATTGCTCAACAAATGGGCTGGTGAAATCAGAATAGGATCAAGGCTTAAGTCTAGTATCTTAGTCTTGTGTCTTAAACTTTACTTTGTGGTAAAGTGTGGTCTAAGTACTATGTGTATGTATTGAATGATTGGACACATTCATTCGTGGATGTTGAAGGCCGAAATTTTATATTCCTTAGTCTAAAAATGTTAAGAAGAGTGCATACCTCTTCGACAACAGATTCAGTTTCCATTAGGGCATAAACATTTGCAGATTCTAGAGCTACAAGTTCGCGCTTCATCCTTTCTGAAAAAGCCTCTGCTTCACCAATGGCCATAACATAACTGGAAAAAAAGAGTTAGGTGCATCAGTTATATTGTCAAGCAAAGGTATACCATAGACACATAAAGAATCCATTTGCACTCATGCCAAAACGTTAGAGGCACACAATGGCAATTATGACATTTTCACTGCAATTTTTGGTATGAGACGTGGAGCATGTTAAGGTATTAGTCCAGGAGTCCAGCATATCCAATCAATTGGCAGTTTGGCACAAGATAGATAAACTGAATAATCAGGATCTGCAAGCACAGAAGGTGGCATGCCAACTGCCAAGGAGATATCTGAAGTTGTTTAGATCGGATTCAGGTAACTTACTTGCCAAGAAGAGTCTCAATCTCCTCCTCTTCTGCCTGAGAAACCAGGTCCTTCTCAACGATAACATGCGATTCAGCCTCTAATACTAGTGATTCCACAGGCCCATCTTTACTGCTCACTTGTGTAACCTTTGCTTGAGTGTTCTGAAATTCAATTCATTGTTACAGCAAAACATAGTACAATCTTATATACAAATGCTACAATCCTTTGCTGGAGTGTTCTCCTAAATTATAGAATGCTAACAATCCTTTTGTCGGTGCTTGTAGAATCAACAGTCAAAAGCAAAAGTACATATATGCAGAGACACACATAAGGTACTCAAACATGTAGATCACAGTCTAGTAATTTTAACCTCAAGTGGACAATCTAGTACATGTCTTTATGCATTACAGATGCAGAAAATGTGACAAGGAAAAAGGACGACTAATTGCAAATCTGCTGGTAATGTTTTGCACACCACAGTTGAAAGTGCCACTATGACAAGGACGACAGACTTTGACTGGCCCAATACAAAAATTCTTTGTATGAAGCATTTCATCAAACACCTTCCAGCAACCATGGCATTGCACTACAGGAATGCTGCCTCCAATATCGAGGTCACTGGCGGCCCCGCGACCCAAGCCGCGGCCACAATGACAGCCCCAGGCAGCTGAAGCTCCGCTGGCACACGCACAACACGACTGACGCCACCGTCTACGTTTCCCTTTCCCTGCTCCACCATGGCTACGGCGCGCTCACTCCCAGAACAATCACCACCGCCACCGCGCGGTCCCACTTAGGTGCCACTCCACCATCGCCGCCACACTGTTCGCGTCGGAGGGGAGGGTGCTGGCGGCCAGGAAGATGTGCCGTAACCCGGCACTCACGGACGCGCGAGGGTGCGTGGTGCAGGGTGCCATGGCATTCTATAGCGGAGCTACGGGGAGGACTTTGGTGGCGTTTGGCAAATGGGCTACGAGAGGTGGCCAGGTGGGATTGGGAAACGGAAATGGAAATGGATGAATGGCTAGGGTTAAATAAGGTGCGAAGAATAAGGTGGGGAAGACTTTTGTTGTGAAAAGCACAGCAGCAACACTAGTGCGGCAGCAGAAAAGTGCAGCAACACTTTCCTTGTGTGTGTGCTCTCTGCTCACCCTCTCTTCTTCTATCTTCAGCCAAAGGCGTTGTGTGAGTGCTCGTGAGCACCTATGGATTGAAGTAAAACTTAAACTAATTTTCATATGTGGGAATAAATTAGTGTTATCTCATCTAAGCTATAATTAAAATTAAGGGCAGAGCATAACCATAGAAGATAGGTTGAGCGATGGTGCATGGTTTTCCATCATCATCACTCGTGTTCCACACAGGAGAATGAGAGTGTGAGTGCGACAACCATAATATCATGTGAGAATAATATTTGATACATTTTTGCCATTATATTGCTTTGGGAATAATTGATTATTATGCAATCACCTTGCCAAGCTTTTACCGTCATTGAAGTATATGATACCTTATCAGTGAGACAGTGACCAAATATAGACTACGAACCATTGCACACATTCAGAACCAGCTTGGTCATTGTAAACCAAAAGAAAGACATGTATCGGCAACGCCTAATTAAGCAAGAGACATGATACCTTTGCCCAGATAGCCATCTCAACGACGTCCATGCCGACGACTTTGGGGATGCTTCCCAAGTGCTCTTTGCACATGTTGAGGATGCACATCAGCAGGCGGTTCCTGCAACAGATAAACAGGGTGTACAACCTTGAACTGAGGTCACATGCAGGAGCAGGATGGGCTAGGAATCGTGATGCTGATGCGTCGGTCACCTGTCCTCTTTGTTGCGCATGGTCCATTGTGGAGGTGCGACACTCTGGCTTCTCAGGTTGTCAAACCCCTGAACAACAGTTAATTTCGAGAAAGCACAACAGTCGATTTGTCATGACAAGGAAAGAATATATGTAATGGAATATATATATATATATATATATATATATATATATATATATATATATATATATATATATATATATATATGTTTCCCTTAGAAACCAAATGCAATTTAATTTTAACCAGTTGTTTACAACTCTAAAGTTGAAATCTGGGCCACCGTCAAATTCTCTGGATCCATTGATCTTCTGGTATTTATTCTGGATCGGAGAACGGGGAAGTGGCATGCATACCAAGACGAAGGTACAGCCGCTGGGATCGTTTTGGGCGACCTCTATCTTGTGCAGATGCTTGATCTTGTACACTTTTGCCGGCTGATACATGCATGGGCAATCAGAATGTGATATATCATCCATCTTTACAATAATTTTCCATTCTGGCGAAACAATCAATCTGGGGAAGAACAACAAACAAACAAACAAAAAGAGACAGCTGGAGGAAGATTACACGCACCTCAAGGACGCCGCCATTGGAGTACTTGAGCACCCGCAGGAACGACTTGGTCTTGTGCCCTTTGACCTTGGCTGCGCCACGCACGAGTGGATGAGCATGTCATCATCATCATGGTTCGGAACGTGCATGCATGGATTAGAAGCGGGGAGGGGGGATGCATACTGACCGGTGACGGCGAGGACGCGGGGCTTGGCCATATTGTGGCGGGAGGTGAGCTTGCCCTTGGCCCAGCCGCCGCCGCCGCCGCGGCTCTTGGCGACGCGCATGCACATCACCACCTTGTCCCGGTCCCCCTTGGCGAGGATCCCGGCTTCGCACCCGCGCTTCAGCTCCATGTCGTCCGCGCTCGACCGCGCCATGTCGCCGCCGCCGCCCGCTGATCGGCTGGCCTCAGATCAACGTGTGAACGGAGGCTTAGCTTCAACTGGATTCAATCGATCCAACTGGGATGGGTCGTCGCTGTCGCCGGATGATAAGGCCGTCAAGTTGCAATGGAGAGAATGAGATCGGGATTAGGCGGACACATTCCAAATCTCTTGGTTTGCCATTAATTTTTTTTCTTTTCCTCGAATTGAAACTGATGAATGATGACGACGAACCGTTCGCTGCATGCACGGGAGATTGGCGTTGCCCGCTTCCTCCACTCGTTTCTCTATTTCGGGTACCATTTCACTATTT